TAAATGGAACATGAAAAGAGAATGGAATAGAATTTGAGACACGGTGACTATGCAACTAGATGAAAAATTAGCACGTGAGGGATTACGTGGCACAAGGTCCACCTTGTTTTATCAACATGATCAATATTTTTGGATTATCTTGATTGACTGGGGCAAGTGAAACTCATATTTTTATTGGTTTAGAAAAGAGTTTCTTCACAACAGCTTTTAAAACACTACATTATTTTGAGGAGTCATGGAATTATTTCAAAAAGATAATAGATCAAAAAAAAATGCCCGCCCATTTGTGCAGGCCATACTAGTTTTGCTGAAATAGCGGGTGGCCAGCGTGATGGTTGTGTGCACAACAAATTCCACATATTTGATGTGTGGTGCGTGGCAATTTGACCATGATACAACAAACACGAGTTTAGTTTGTGTAAAACACACAATGTACCTTGTCCACCCTCACTACTTAGAGCATATAGATTGATTATCAGAATGAGCGTAACAGGATTTGCTGGCAATTGCTGATTGGCCAAAATTTGCAACATTAAGTACTCCATAAATGAGATTATTGTGTATACTCCCTCCTTTCCGGTTTATAGGGCTCAACTCAAAAATCTCATCCAATCAAGATAGATGGTGAGTGGTGGAATACTTTTTGTAGTTTGCAAAAGGAGGCAATTAATGATCTTGTTTTCCTCAAAAAATTATATTTACCAATGCATTAATTATAATGCATGCATGCATAAAGTACATGCATTGGTCAATTTTCTCTTTATACTTGCATGCAATGATTGAATGCACCTTGGAATCTAAACTTGTGATGGGGAACAACCAAATTGAGCCTTATAAAATGAAAAAACTAAAATTTTGAGATAAGCCCTATAAACTGAAAAGGAGGGAGTACGACAGAAAGTAGCTACTCCCTCCGTCTAGGTGAATAAGCCATCTTAGATAGTGCACCGTGACCAAGAAGGAAGGGAAAACGAGAGAACTTAATGTTTATTTGCTAATTAATAGCATTGCATGCAATGAATTAACCACTGCATATCGTGTTTGGTAGTCTTGAGTCATTGAAAACATGCACACCCCACATCACTTATTGGTTGACATGTCAAAAATAAGAAACGAGATGAGAGTTAATGCATCACGCCTAAGTGTTTTGGGATTATTTGGTTTCGTGAGATGACTTATACACATAGACAGAGAGAGTAACAAACTTTCCTTGGCACACACCGACGCGCACGCACACACAAAGCTTCATAAGTAAGAGTAGGTGCTGGAGATGGTGGTTGTGCATCATCGTCACATAAACACCACATCGTACCCAGTCCAACTACAACTTCCGCCACTCGCTGTTGCAATCCTGCTTATCATTACTGTTGTGTTCTGATTCCCACAACTGTCCGCTCCGTCACATTGACATAAATGTGTTGTGTGCCCGTTGTGCACCACTAATTTTTTTTGTATGGACCAGTTGAGAGAGAGATGACCTTTTGGTCTATGGGGACATATACATCCTATATGGGAAAATAATTCAGTAATTCAACAAAAAGTCAAAAAATTCTGAAAATATTTTTGAAATAAACCTGACTTTACATTGTACTTGTGAGAAAATTTTCACAAAAATAAAATCCCCCTTTGACTTTGTTTTAAAAAAAAGACAAATTTTTGACCAAAATAGTCACTAGTAGAAAACAGGGCTTTGGTCCAGGCCGTGTCAGCCCATTAGTCCCGGTTCAGTTCAGAACCGGGACCAATGAGGGCATTGGACCCGGTTCGTGAGCCCAGGGGGCTGGCCGGGCCACGTGGGCCATTGGTCCCGGTTCATCTGGACCTTTTGGTCCCGGTTGGTGGGACGAATCGGGACCAATGGGCCTCGCTCCTGGCCCACCATCATTGGTCCCGGTTGGTGGCTTGAACCGGGACCCCCTTTGGTCCCGGTTCAATGAGGTGCCTATATATACCCCCTCGCGTAAGAGCGGATCACACTGCTCTGTTTTTTTCTGGCCGAGGGGGAAAGGGCTTGGTGGTGCTCTAGCTCACCTCCTATGCACACAAGGTGTTCGATGGAATGCCCGAGCCACACTACTTAAGCTTTCTCCTCTCCAAGCTCGACCTCCAAGCTCCATTTTCCTCAATATTTATCTAGGTTTAGCGGTCCGTCACGCCCCGTCCCCGTCTTCACCGCCGTCGATCACCCGCGCCGAGCTCATCGCCGGCACCACTGTGGTGAGCCTCTTGTTCTTATCTTCTTTCTGAAAGGAAAAATATTCTTACTTTTGGAAATATGCCCTAGAGGCAATAATAAAATTATTATTATATTTCCTTGTTCATGATAATTGTCTATTATTCATGCTATAATTGTATTATTCGGAAATCGTAATACATGTGTGAATACATAGACCACAATGTGTCCCTAGTGAGCCTCTAGTTGACTAGCTCGTTGATCAACAGATAGTCATGGTTTCCTGGCTATGGACATAGGGATGTCATTGATAACGGGATCACATCATTAGGAGAATGATGTGATGGACAAGACCCAAACCTAAGCATAGCACAAAGATCGTGTAGTTCGTTTGCTGTAGCTTTTCTGGATGTCAAGTATCATTTCCTTAGACCATGAGATTGTGCAACTCCCGGATACCGTAGGAGTGCCTTGGGTGTGCCAAACGTCACAACGTAACTGGGTGACTATAAAGGTACATTACAGGTATCTCCGAAAGTGTCTGTTGGGTTGGCACGAATCGAGACTGAGATTTGTCACTCCGTATGACGGAGAGGTATCTCTGGGCCCACTCGGTAATGCATCATCATAATGAGCTCAATGTGATAAAGTGGTTGATCACGGGATCATGCATTACGGTACGAGTAAAGTGACTTGCCGGTAACGAGACTGAACAAGGTATTGGGATACCGACGATCGAGTCTCGGGCAAGTAACGTACCGATTGGCAAAGGGAATTGAGTACGGGATTGATTAGGTCCTCGACATCGTGGTTCATCCGATGAGATCATCGAGGAGCATGTGGGAGCCAACATGGGTATCCAGATCCCACTGTTGGTTATTGACCAGAGAGTCGTCTCGGTCATGTCTGCTTGTCTCCCGAACCCGTAGGGTCTACACACTTAAGGTTCGGTGATGCTAGGGTTGTATAGATATGAGTATGCAGTAATCCGAAAGTTGTTCGGAGTCCCGGATGAGATCCTGGACGTCACGAGGAGTTCCAGAATTGTCCAGAGGTGAAGAATTATATATAGGAAGTGTAGTTTCGGCCATCGGGAAAGTTTCGGGGTCACATGTATTGTACCGGGACCACCGGATGGGTCCCGGGGGTCCACCGGGTGGGGCCACCCATCCCGGAGGGCCCCATGGGCTGAAGTGGGGAGGGGAACCAGCCCATAGTGGGCTGGTGCGCCCCCCCTTGGGCCCCCCATGCGCCTAGGGTTGGGAACCCTAGGGGAGGGGGCACCTCCACTTGCCTTGGGGGGTACTCCACCCCCTTGGCCGCCGCCCCCTAGGAGATCCCATCTCCTAGGGCCGGCGCACCCCCTAGAGGGCCTATATAAAGGGGGGGGGGGAGGGAGGG